CTATTGGGTACATAAAGCTTACATTGACTTGACTTGGTGTTGACTGCGAGCCATGCACAAGGCGAGTCACGTGGACTGCAGTCTGGTAAGCGAGATGGATCCAAGGCACCGAGTTTGGTCGTTAGTAATTTCATTTTTCGTCGCACGGTAACACGCGTACGAGATGGCCATCAGCTAGCGAGACAACAGCTCAGAAAGATGGACGGTTGCTCCATTTTCAGCGTCGTCAACTAGCCTGCTTGGCAGAACATTTTAAAGAGCAGTTTAGCAGGACTGCTTTGACACAGCCACTTACCAAATCGTCTGAGCCGACATGGGAAGTAGATATCACACCTCGCACTGCGTAAGAGATTCGAAATGAGCTTTCCGAGTTGAAACGAAACAAGGCTCCCGGACCTCACGACTTTCCTCCATCTTTGCTGAAAGATGATGATGCTGATGATGACCATCATCATCATCAACATTATCAGAATCATCATGAATACAGTATATCAGCCATCTGAAATGATGCTTCGCTGCCAAACAACGGTAACGAGCTACGGAAAGAAGAAGAATAAGAGACATAGAAGAACTTACCGAAGAACTTTAATGTCCTACGCAAATATTCAGCGTCAAGATGTCTACACTTTGTCAATAACATGCCCTCACAAACAGCTGGCAGTTGTACAAAGATAAGCCGGCATCGGCAAGACAGCTTCCTCGCGTGATTCACTGCCCCGTGTCATAATCAGTCATTACCACGCAGATAACTCAGCACTAAACACACTTTAAACAGGAAGTCCAACGAGGAGACGAAAGCAGACGTGCTACTGGTGTCCACTGTGAGCCATGTCCTGTAAGCTCACGAATCAAGTACAAGGCGAGTCACGTGGACTTCAGGCTGGAAGAGGAGACGGACCGACGGCACGAAGTTTGGTCGTCAGTGACTTCATTTCCCGTTGCCAAGTCAACATTTGTCCACATCGAGCCTTGCACTACCCTACCTCTGGCAAACAAAACAAGTCCCTCCTCGGTAAACGATGAACTCATCGGTAGTACATGCCCAAGCCAACGATACTTATTCAGTGCTATTTGTTGCTACAAGGAACCAGCTTGATTATCCCTGCCTAGTTCTCACTCACGTGCATCATGGTTGCGCACACCACAAATACTTCGCAGACAAGGATGATCAAAAGCTTGAAGGCACCGAAGATCCTCAGATCGGAGGGGCTAAGTCTCGTTTCCATAAAGTAAAACGGCCCTCACTGTGGTCATGTATAGGCGGCCTTTCAAACGGAGAGAAATCCCTTTCTGTCGCAGACTCAGGAAAGCAGTTCGGGATTAAGTAATGCGCGAATTGATTTCAGTTGCTATACGTCCATAGTTGGTGATGCTGCTTCCAAGGTAGGTAAAGTGATCAACTACCTCGTTCGTCGCCATCAAGGATCAAGAGGTCATCGAGTGGATGGTGTTCCTGCAACAGCAGTTTGCACGTTGAAGGTGCGAAGCGCACACCAGCTATTATCGGCCTGTGGTAGGTGTGGCGCTGCTCTAGCACCTGACGCAGAAAGAATATGTGGTCCACACAGCTCCATCCAGGGCGGAAGCCTCCATGCTCTTCTCTAATACTTTACTACAGCTAGCTACTGCGACAGAATGAGCCGGCCTCATGAATGTCGCGGATTGGAGCTGCACAAGCGCGGCGGTCGGCGGCAAGCTCCATGAAGATATTGATCGAATGATTACTTCGGTGACGAGCACCATGCAAAACAAGCAGTCCCAGAAGATCAACATCCGATTTCACTGCAGCGAGCCACGTTTTCAATTGTCCACCACAGCGACAACACCAACCCTGGCAATGCGAGGATGAAACCACGGACCTAGTGAAGTCAGTGTCTGGTAAGTGTAAGACGTGACCAAACTATCGACGTCTGCGGCATTGGATGAGTGCTGAGGGCTTCGGGAGACCGTAACAGCGCCCATGAACTTCGTCATTGGTGATAAGTTTATGCCACTGAGTTTTCAAGATAAGCCTTAGACACCAATAGTCGAAGACTTCCAGCTTCCGGGTGTCCTCGGATCGTAGTGGCCATGTTTCGCAACTACAGAGTAAAATGGCACGAATGATTGCTGAGAATACTCGGATTTTCGTTCTCAGACTAATCTACGTCCTTCGCCACAACGTGTTTTCCAGTTGTAAGAAGGCTGCTCATCGCTTATCCGTGATTCTCGCTCCGCAGTGAAGCGACGAACGAGAATTGAGGCCAGTAATTTTGTCACAACTTGGCGTTAGGCTAATACCCGTGTGGTTAACGGTAGGTGCGACTGCCCTTCTCGTATATCGCCGCAATAATTGATTCACTCCAGTTAGCTAGGATGTCCTCTGCCTTCCAGACCTGTACGAACCGGGAGGTCAGTTTTTTGATGAGCACCACACAATCATCCTTAAAAGGTGCGGGTGCGAGGGAATCCGGGCCAGTAACAGGAAAAGGATTAACGGCTGTGATAGGGTTTCGGATCTCAGCCTCTGACGGAGTCTCTAAACTGCTCATGGCCCAGTCTGCAACACATGAGCGGGAAGAGGTGCAGTAGTAAGGGGGCAATTGAACTGATTCCGAAAGTGCTCCACCTAACGAGCAAAAAGGCGTTATTTGTTATGAAGCAGTACACCTGCGCTGTCTCTGTCTCACTGACGCCTGGTTTCCTGAGGCTAATGGTGCGGATTAGCTGAAGGAGCTTGTGATAACTGACTACTGTCCTTACCTCCTCCGCACATAACTGCAACAGACGCTCACCGTTGTCTGTCCGTTCGGAGTTAAGCGCATACTTGATATATGGGATGCGTGTGTTCATGTGGAAATTTGGCCACAAATGACGTGGGTCAAGGCCACTCCATCTACCTCGCCCACTGGTTTTGCGATCCAAATGAGAATGAGCTATCTCCTACCTGGCCTCACTTTCCCTGGAGTAGATCTTCCACCACGTGACTGGTCTTCAAGCTCAGAGCACTTAAACAAGATAATTCATTGGATTGTACCCGTCTGCCACGAAAACATCGGTAAACAGACCGACGCATAGCGCCGCTTGCTTCGACATGGACTTTGCTCTCCTCCAGTGTGTTGTCTTTATAAAAATGGCCCGACTCACCTACAGTTTGAACTATCAGTGAACAGCCCCCGGAGCCAATGATCGGCCTACATTTGTGTGGCTGCATCAAGTACGGCCTCGCAATAGTGGTAGCTGCACGCACTGGCGAGACTACAGTGGATGTCCAAAAATTATGTGACCCGTAAAGACGAAGAGATAAGCGTTTATACTAGTTAAGGAAATGGCGTGCAAAGCCATACCACAAACACTGACACCAAAGAATAAGCAGAGGCCAGCCACTTTTGACCACTGATGACTGTAGAGTATTGCTTCTAACAAGTGGAAGCATCAAATAACTAGCATCTGGTGTTTCGGAATAGGCCCCCTATATTAGTGTAGTACTAAAATGACTACTGAACTAGAACCGTCTACGAAGGCCAGAGTAGGTATTTAAATAAACGGTATATTCCTCGAAGGTGCGAGGCACAGTCAAACTGACCAAGCTGCCTACGTGAGTAGTGTTTACCTAACTAAGCATCGTTGAGTGAAGCCGAGAAATGGCCAGGATATGATCCGGAGAAGGACCAATAAAAAAGCACCGAAAAGCTAGACAGAATTGGTAGTATCGGCTTGTGAATGCTCCTCTCAAGATCGGGCACATCAGTGGTCTACTACCATATTGGATGTGGCGTTCTAAGGTTCATTCCCCTATTTTGGCTCTTGACTAGCCCACTTGGTGAGCCTAATATTTGGTATCCTTCACTAGAAATACCAGTAGATAATTTCTACAAAGATTAGACGCATTATTCACCACCTTATATATATATATATATATATATATATATATATATATATATATATATATATATATATATATATATATATATATATATATATATATATATATATATATATATATATATATATATATATATATATATATATATATATATGGATATGTTTATGTAAGGTAGGTACATTTATGTATATTTATTACTTGGGAGCCCCTTTGAGATGCCAAGTCGTTGTATTCTCAAATGGGCAATGATCCTGAAGCAACCGCAAATGTTAGTCATCCGGGACAGCAACCATATAAGGACTGGACATATGAGCCTACTAAATGTTTAGTGAATGTCGCGCAGTCACCAGAGGATTTGACGACGCAACATCCCAGTTGCGGTGGTAGATGCGAAAGAGAAAACTGGAAGCTAAGCGGTAGTGACCATCACGGAAGGCATCAGAAGTACGCCAGTACGCAGTACCGATGTATCACTGCCGCGCAACTACCACCGGTCGCACGTAGACCAAGGATACTGCGAGAGTCCTCCTGTCCATATACAGGCTCGAACCCGCGCCGTCAGATTATGAGACAACCTCGTTACCTTTAGGCTACGGGCCAGCAGATCATCACGGAGGGGGCATGCATTAAAAGGCATTGGTTTAACACAATAGGAAAGGTTATGAAACAGGAGTGATTTTTCCAGGAGATACGACAAAATTTAATACGATAAATGGACGGAAACCACTAGCCTGCGATGTACTGTAGTCTGATATGAGTAAGCGAATACACCAGAACTAAGAAATGCTCATTGTATGGAACTCACAAGCATGGAATCGCTTTAAACCATAGCGATATGTAGTTACAACGTTTAAGCAAAATAAACCGCTACTTTCCCCTCAAGCCAATTGTCGCTGGATCAACCCTATCACATTAGAGGAGCCATGTAGATGTATATCACAAAGGACCAACCGGGGAAATTCAACAAGTTAAGGGATGAATGTCAAATGGTGGCTGCAGCGGACAATGCGGTATAAGTCTGTTCCAGAATAACGGGCTGTCAACTAACGAACAAGACCATTGAGTCATTAAAAATTAACCGATCTAAACAAAACGAAATCAGAGACAAGGCAAACTGAAATCAAACAGTAACTACCTTCAAGGACTTGAAAAAACGCGTCGTCTACATTTGTGGCGTCTAAGGCCGAAGTCTCCGTGAAGAACAGCTTCTCCTTCATTGCGAGGGCCTTGGCTTCATCCGTAGAAACCATACGCAAATGCCGCAGGTCGCATTTGTTACCGATAAGCATTACAACAATGTCCTGATCAGAATGATCCCGCAATTCGCGCAGCCACTGTTCTACGTTTTCGTATGTCGAATGCTTTGAAATATCATAGACCAAGAGGGCACCGACAGCACCCCGGTAATATCTGCAAATAAAAAGCAGACAAATCAAACCAGAAATTCTCAAAGAACATGATGCCTAGTTCCAATCTTTCTTAGGGCATCCAGCGGATCAAAAGCAGATGAAAACGTCAGTGGTGGGCGAAAACTAAGTCACCTAGCCTAATGACGGCGATGCGCAAGAATTCGTTAAACGGCATCGGTTGCTTGAAAGCAACAGGATGAGTAACGTCGTCAAAGGTTGCGCACGTGTAGACAGAATCCTTCTGTTTCGTTGAAGCAACATTCGGAAAGGATAAAGTGGAAATGAGGAGCATTGGCCGATAGCTGATGTGAGTGCATGCAAACTGTGAACTGGTTCTTACGGGTGAGGGAAACATAAAACCCCACGAGCACACCGATGGCTACCAAAGGTAGAAATAAGTTTGATCCTTAGACGACGGAACTCATGGGGACTACCGGTATGCATCAATTCATGCGTCCCATTATATCAGTGGGAGCGTACAACGGGGCTAGTCACGGTGATGTAAGCGTTGCTTGGGAATACCGCATCATGAATTCATCCTGCTGATTGATGGGCGTGAAAAAACTGGGAAAATGATAGTATCAGAAACAGGAAAGCGCTGTGCAAATTTGCATATGCGGAAGCAAGGGTACAAAACGAAGTGGATAGCTCGAGTAACAAAGAGAGTGTACGGTCATCATCAAGGGTGATCATCAGATGTCAAATGACACTGGAACAGTAATGATGTGAGAAAGAAAAGGTAGGGTACATCGAATCGCCTTGATTCGCGTTCAAAAGACAACAGCCAACAGAAACAGCGGTACGCTGCCACATAACCATGAGGGTTTGAAAACCGAGAAGTCGCCTCTACCTAGGCAGGTTGAAAGTGATGATTCGTGGATCACAAGCCAGACTTCAGAATCACTATGTCACTAGGTAACGGAGAAGTATCCAGACGAATTCAGAGAGAAGAATTGACGACAATATCACGTGCTCTCTTACTTTCCCTAGTTCGATAAGCAGCAGCAAGTGTAGTTGCATTCATTATCCTATTTTGGCTTCTAACCACTCGATCTGATGATTTATCTATTCTTCTTGAATAGTCAATTATTATCATTAGTATAGTGACTTCAGTTAATGCCATTGGAGCCACCATTCTTTGTTGCACTTAGAATAAACGATCATCGGGTTGACGTGACCAACTTGTGGGGATTCAGGCAATATCCCAGCGGTTTCGTGAACTAATCCCATTCACCCTCCTCATGTCGACACCCGGCCGATTCGAGGAGTCAAGTCAAAAACTGCTTCATATACCTTTGGCGGCTGAATATGCAGCTACAGTGTGTAGTGTAAGCTGACATTGGCCACTGGGGTAAATAATGTGTATGCAGTATTATACACACTAGCCTCCATTGACAAATCCGCGTTACGCTGGTTCTGAGGCCTAAGGGAGTCACATGGGCCCTAGTGATTGGTACCTGGACATCGTGAGTACTTCGACTGCAAAAACCAATTGCAGTGATGGTAGAGGAAGACCCATCAGGTTAGTCGTAATATAGCTTTTGAACTGTAAAAATGCGAGGCGCCAAACGAAGAATACAAATCATTGCGTCGTTCCATTCTGGAGTATTTCTTTTAAGTCAAATTTCAACAGAATTATTTGATTTGCGCAGACCAAGTAGGTAGAACTTTTACTCTAGAATCATTCGTATGTCATGGAGAAACCAAAGAAGATAACTCTGATGCTCTGTAATTACTGTGATAAAACCAAGAGAGAAATTCAAATACACCCACACAATGCTATAAGAGTAGCGGTAAAGAAATCCCGTGATTGAGAACAGACTTTTTATCAGAAGCCACAAACAAACGAATCCATCTGGGCAAAAGATGACAGCGAGGAAATTAATTGCACTCACACTGTTATGACTAGTTGATAGATGATGATGCTGGGACATGATGCAGGTGAGCAGTGTTTACACAGTAAAAATACAGGAAATAGTCAGATGAGGGCCACAACATCCGAAATATTTATGGGAAGGCAACGGGTACCAGCCGCTGAAATAAACCTCACATGCACCATTTTATGGCAAACACCAGTTGAACTGATAACCACAAGCTCACCAACATCAATTGGCAAAGGGCGCCTAGTTCCAAAGCATCATTTCGCCCAAACGAACCACGGCATCCTGGAACCCCTTGACAGAAATAGCCAAAAAGACAGGATGGCTCACCCTTCAAATCTGTAAATTAGTGTCCCAGCCGACGGATCTGAGAGTGACTCGGCTAATCACCTTAAACGTGAAAATGAACATCTCAGGATCCTTGTGGAGCCAGTACTTCGAACAAGCTGAAAAAGCAGGTCGTTCGGATAATCAACCTACTCTACACAAAAGAAGTCTTCTATGCAGAAAAGCCTCGGTCAAAAGTGGAACTCATGGCTAGACGCCGTTAAGCGAGGGTTGATGATACTCAAAATCCGACTACAGAATAGTTATTTTCAGTTATTATATATATATATATATATATATATATATATATGACTTGATGCACTGGTAGTTCGGGTTGATCGTTCCTCAGTTCACATGTTCGCTGAGCTTCGGAATTGGGATGCAAACCGTTTCATCACCAAACGGGGTGACTTCGTCAGATCGCTGCTGCGTCAAATGTAATCCGCTTACTTGTTCGTCGATTTGTAATCGATCAACAAGTGACTTGAACTGACCTCCTCGATCTGTGCCCCGTGACATGCACCGGTCTGCCCAACTCTGATAGACACGGGCGATCTTTGGGATGGTTTTGCCCCGGCTGTTGCTGATGTGTTGTTGATGGCTCGTTTAGCTGACCACGACGGTTTTTTTAAAAGGTGTATTGATTCTTTCCGCCTTAACGTTTGGTACACTGGATCAATCTCTATGTGCATGTTTATCGAATTCTGCGTCGAGTACCATGCTTCGAGGAACTCTCTTCCTTTGCGTGACTCTCCTTTTGCTAGGACGTCTGTGTTGTTCCAATCGAAGTGATGTCCTTCTTCGTCTGTATGTATTGAAACCAGTGAGAGCGTAATGGCACTCTTGAGGCAAAGCGAAAAGAAGAGATATACCTGTTAAGATCACTTCATCTAAATGGATATCCACAAAGCTTCGTCCGGTGATGTCTAAACAAAGCTACCACCCTTCAGTCTGCTCAAACGACCACAAAGAGAATCGTTATACCCCATGTAAAGAACGTCTCCGAGATGGCAGCAAGATTATTCAAACAGTACGGGTTTACAGTGGACCACAAGCCAACTGCCACATTGAGAACTCTGTCGAATCCAAAAGCTAGACCCGAAACACACGAAAGACGAAATGTTGTTTACAAGATACGATGTCAAGATTGTGATAAAAACTATGTGGGTCAGACAGGAAGACGACTGTCAACAAGAATACAAGAGCATAAGAGAGCTTGTAAGAACCATTACGCTCTCTCACTGGTTTCAAAACATACAGACGAAGAAGGACATCACTACGATTGGAACAACACATAGGTCCTAGCAAAAGGAGAGACACGCAAAGGAAGAGAGTTCCTCGAAGCATGGTACTCGACGCAGCATTCGATAAACATGCACACAGAGATTGATCCAGTGTACCAAACGTTTAGACGGAGGGATCTAAAACACCTCTTAAACAAACCGTCGTGGTCAGCTAAACGAGCCATAAACAACACATCAACAACAGCCGGGGCAAAACCATCCCAAAGATCGCCCGTGTCTATCAGAGTTGGGCAGACCGGTGCAGGTCACGGGGCACAGATCGAGGAGGTCAGTTCAAGTCACTTGCTGATCGATTACAAATCGACGAATAAGTCAGCGGATTACATTTGACGCAGCAGCGATCTGACGAAGTCACCACGTTTGGTGATGAAACGGTTTGCATCCCAATTCCGAAGCTCGGCGAACAAGGGAACTCAGTAACATATATATATATTCATCAGTCTATAAAATAGACCATAAGTCCTTCAAAACTATAGAAAGTTAAATGGAATAAAAATATGTACGAGGTCAAAAAGTAATGAAGAATCAAAAAAGAGTACTTTTGTTATGTTCACGTCAATTTCATTTCTTTTGCCATTTAAAAGGACTTAGTAATTTTAGAACAAGTTCACGCAGACTTGCGTGCAATTGGAACGGATAAACGTCAAGTTCAGAAAGATAAACAAAACACGAAGCTTTAAGCGAACAATTGTTTTCGATTAATTCTTCTTCAGGCTCATACAATAATATACATTAGGGTAAGGTCTGTTGCAATCGTCAGTATAACAAAGAAACAATTGATCAGAAAATTTAACTTGTGATCATGATGGCAGTCATCTGATCACATGACTGAAGTCAGGTGGAGTTGCGGAGTACCATCACTTCCTTCCCGGCTGGTGGTCGGCCAGGGAAGTTGTAGTGTTTGTATCAGCTTCTTCTGGACACACAAGTCCGGATTTGTTAGGCGTATGCATACTGCCTCAGCGGTGGCAAGTAGGCTTGCTCTTACACGATGGTTTTGCCTTGGTGGTATTTTGTAGAGAATCTGAAAGGATGTTCGTTTGTTTATCTGGTGGCCTGTGTTGATTAGATGGTTTGTAATCGCGCTGCAGTTTGTCCTATTCTCGCGATTGTAGAGCCAACCTGGGAGGTGTTCCTTAATTCTCTTACCTAAATGCCTGGTCGTCCGTCCAACGTACCTGGCCCCGCACGGGCAGGTGAACCGGTAGATTAACATTGATTGGAGATGATCAGGCACTCGGTCTTTGAATCTCGGAACTAGTAAAGGTCTGCTCGTGAAAATCACATTCAGCTGAGCCGCATTAAAGGTCTTTTTGCAGCTTTGCTGTAGTCGACGCGTGCATGTCTCAGCCGCACTATTTCCTTTGAATGGAAGTGTCAGGTAAAGCTGTTTCTTTTCAACGGTTTGTTTTGATACTTTTGGTATGCATCGCCTCATATGGGTCTCGATAAATCGCTCCGGATATCCATTTTCGAGAAGCGTTTCTTTG